AAAACAAGAATTTCTTGATATTTCGCATAGAAAAATACCGCGAATCAGTGAAAAATACCGCGAATCTGCGAATTCCCCCTGAAAAATGCTCCAAAGAAAAAATCCGCGAAGCAGCGAATCCGCGATGAACGAACCGTGAAGTAGCGAGGGATTACTGTACAACTAAAACAGCACTGGAGATGTTTTATACTGATGTCAGCTTCCTGATTCAGTTTTAGGAAAGAAGGATGTATTATAGTCGCATGTAAAATAAACCAGCCACAGATCTGACCTCTGAGATGGTTTGGCTCTGCACTAGAAGAACGATGCACCAGGTGGTCTTTGGTCTATTGTAAGAAATGTGGATCTGTTCATATATCACTGAGAATAAACAAACATGTTGGGGAAATGAAAAAAATGAGTTAATGACGAAAGTTTTGTAACCGTTTGTTACTAATCAGTAAATGCATTTTGTCCTCATGGGCTCTCGTAGCAGGAAACATGATGTCTAATATGGTGTTCCCCAGAGACGCTACACTATGTACTTTAGACAGATTTTTATGTTATAAAGCCACTAATATTTTTCATCAACTGGGCATCATTTCATTCATTTTCAACAACATTTTGATGACCATTGCCTGAAATTAATGGTAAAAACTACACATTGTCTCTTTAAACATTCACATGAAATCCTCAGAACTGCAATTAAAACAATGAATAAATACCACATGTCTCATATAAGTCAAGTCAAAGTCATTTATTGTCATTTCTACCACATGTGCAGGACATACAGAGAAACGAAATTGAGTTTCAGCACACACAATTCACACACAATTCAAAGATCAGACATACGTGGGTAAGACACAACAAGAATTGGTGACTGCGGTCATTCGCAACATGAGTCGCGCTACCTTAATAGAAAGATGAAAAGGAGATGATGGGTAAGTACAAATATCACTGAGAATAAACAAACATGTTGGGGAAAATGAAAAAAATGAGTTAATGATGAAAGTTTTGTAACCCTTTGTTACTAATCAGTAAATGCATAATTAAGTCATTGGAAGAAAAATGATTGAACTGATGGAAATCTTGACTTATTTATGGCGTCCTACGCCTAAGATTGGCTTTTTATGACCCTGCAGACAACCTGTTGACCTGCTGATGGCAGAGTGTTGAACGTCAGAGCCATTCTTATTAACGGGACAACAAACCGTAACGGTAACTTCATGGTGGCCATGGCGACGATTGGCCCTTGTTCATTTAAAGCCTCTCAGCAGGAGTTCATGACAGCTCTATAATCAGACGCTGTCAATTTTATTTTGGTCTCCTCCAAAGTTTGAGCATTTTATTTTAAAACGTGTGACGACGGGAAAGAAAAGGGGGAAATAATCCCGAATGGTTCCAGTTTTATCCATTCAGACCCGAGGCACTTTCTAAACATGGGGAATGAAAAATGTTGCACCAAGTCCGAGTTAAATATATTCCAGCAGCAACTCAGACTGAGAATAAACTGTTACTGATCTTCTGCTCATTAATGGCTGTTCAAAAACAAAAGTTTGACAGCTTCTCTCCCAGTATTTTTAACTACACTTCAGTCTGTTTTCAGATGAGCAAATCCTCTTAGGTAATAAAATTAGAAAGCACATGTTTACTTTTAATAGCTCCAAAAACATGACTAATGGGGTAATTTTAAAAATTGGGAATACCATATTAGGTTAATGCTGTTTTTTTTAATAAAAGAGCCAAATGGTTCATAGTAGACTGGCGTTTACAAAACAAGCGGGCATCCCTTGTTATTTGGAAACAGGCTGGTAGAATTTGCAGCCGAGGCCTCGGTAGGGTCTGATTTCTGACATCGTGAACGAACATGTTGCTTTACGGGGCTTTTAAAGGTATGAAACATTTTGTAGCGCTGAAGACACACTGGCAACACAATGGTAATACCGTCAGCATTGAAGATAATTGTCCAAACACACCAGGAGAAAAATGATGCCAATAATGTTTACCAACTGTATTTGTTTTAGAAAAGAAGAAGCTCTTTTCCTGTGTCATGGTATTTGCTCCACTAGCTTATTGATGGCGTCTTCTAGTTGAAACGGTCTACACGATTAGTCCAGTTGCCCCGACGGAGCAAGCAAAGATCAGAACCCCCTTGTTGCTACAACTCATTTTTGGTTAAACATAATTTTAGTCACAATTTAACTTTACAACTCCTTTTGCCCTGGAAATTAATTACCCAAGACTACCAACGTGTCATTCAGCTCTTGATTTAGGTCCAGAGTAGATTAAGCTAATTAACTCTCCTGACGTATCACTTTCTGTCACGTTATGGGGATGTTTAGGACCCAAAAATGCAGATACCCAGGATGATGTGAGGCAGGAGTTGATACAAGAATAAATCCTTTTAATTGTAGGATGAAACAAAAATAAATCCGAAGGGAGGGAGCCAAAAATCCAAAACCAGAAGAACAAAAGCTCACCTAGAGCACAAACTGGGACGAGACACAAAGCTCACACAGAGCATCAGAAAATGCTGGCATACAAACAATGGACCGACAAGACACTGAGACAAGACAGGGCTTAAATAAACTGGGGCATGATGGGAGGCAGATGAGCTACAGGTGTGTGGGGAGAGGACCAGGTGAAAGCAATACTTAATCAGGGAGGGAACTCACATGACCTAAGAAAAAACCTGAAAACAAGAAAAGCAACCACATAACTAATATTCTAAAGGGAAGGAGAACTACAAAGACTGGTGGGACAAAACATATAAAAGAGACTAATAAAATGAAAAGCTGACACTATAAACACTGCAGAGGGATGACTGGCTGCAGAGGGGTGACTGGAGAAGACTAAAGGAACACAGGACCTGAGAGATATATCTGGAAGGCTGAAGACCAGGGGACAAATGAGGAACACAAAGAGACACATAAATGAGACGCAGACAAAGTACACATGAGGGCGCTATGAAACACAAAAGGAGAACCTGGAGTGAGAACTGGAGGGGCTGGGGAACAAAGGGACACAGAACATGACACTTTTACTCAACACTGAGCTGCTGAATGGTTCCAGAAAGGGTGTGGGAAACATTGATATCTGACAGTAGAGTTACAACCTCAGGTTGTTTCACAGCAACCGTTGGTGTAGAGGTAATACTTTTGAAACTACCCAGATTTCTTGGTACTGATTTAGTTATTTTGATCAGCGTCAGCTCTGAAGATGTTTGCAGCCACAAATGAAACGTCAGCAAGGTAAAGAAAAACCTTATCTGTGTTTAAAAAAGAACTAAAAATGGAACAGAGGTACTACTTTCCTAAATACCCTAAACCAGGGGTGTCAAACTCATTTTAGCTCAGGGGCCACATTGAGGGAAATCTTGTCCCAAGTGGGCCGAACCGGTAAATTAAAAACAACTTCAGATTGTTTTCTTTGTTTTAATACAATCAATATAAAACAAGGCTGGAGCCTGAGGACAGTGTAGTACCAGTACAACACCTGAAGTGTACTTGAAAATTTGAAAAAAAAATAAATAAAATAAAAAATCAATCAATTAAAAAAACAGTCCTTAGTGATTGAAAGAGCTTACAGATAACATGGCTAGATCAGTTTCCTGCAACACTTAAAGTATATTTGACTCATTTTACTTTACATCTTTTAGCTTTCACCAGCACATCAATATCAGAAGTCACATCCTGAGTGGCAGCCAACTTCAGGATGTGATTCAAGTTCTTGTGTGAGCCTTGAGCGCAGCTTTGTTTTATTTATACTCATTACAGAGAAAACTTGATCATAAAGATAAGTTTATTTTCACTGTACATTGTAAAGTATGAAAATAAAGTTTACACAACCATTTCGCGGGCCGGATATAACCCGCTTGCGGGCCACATCCGGCCCGCGGGCCGCATATTTGACGCCTCTGCCCTAAACCATCAGTACAGAGGGAATAAATAGACGAGTTATCCGACACTGTGCACGCTCCTGCAATGATTGACAGCAGCAGCATCTGACCAACCATTGGTTAAATGCTCCGACAGCCAGGTGGATCAATGGAGCTGCATAGATAACATCCTAACAAATATCGATCGTGAGCAAGCACCTGAAAGAAAGTCAAACCAGGAAGAGTGTGTTTCACTTGAAAGTGGTTATGTCGTTTAAAAAATAATTACTTTGTGGGCATAAACATCCCAGCTGCTGCTAATCATGAGACAGAAGAGAGGACAAATCTGTCTGGAAGTGGACCGAAGATTAAATTATACAGCAGCTCTGATCATCATGTATGAAATGTCTTGTTAAAGGCATACTCCTTAACTTGTGTCTTATACCGTGTTCGGTTCATAGCCTAGTTCGAACTTAACCCTACATCACTTGCTGACTCAGAGAGAAAACCCGAGTGTCCTGGCTGTCATAAACTCAGCTCAGCTCAGAGGTAGTGCAGCATAAGATGACCTGATTGATCACTTTACATTCAGAAAAAGAGGATGTGTGCATCTTGATTGGTCAAGTCAGAGCAGTATTTATAGGTTCTACGCACATTTTCAATTATGTTTACTGATTGGCTGTTTATGGACCTAAAACCCAGTGGAAACTGGAAAGGAGTGTAAAATTACACACAAGAGAAATGGAAAAGTACAACCTCTGCCTGATTACGTTTCAGTAAAGTGGGTTTGAAATGTTCCACTCGAGCTCTAAAGTCTCAAATCTTTTGCCATTAAAGAATTATTTGAGTCAGTCAAAATCTACTTGAAGCAGGTCGAGAAACTGAAAAATTAATCAACGTCACATTACATGGCAGGGTGAATACATGTTCATCGTAGGTGAACCTCAGCGGATTCCAAACAAGGCGAGAGGGATTGCTGAGTTGGACTGCAGTCCACTGACTTCCTAATGAAAACCTGCCGTATAAATTTGTATAAATCATACATAACCCAACTATAAATCATGCATACAACCAAAACTGCATTGCGGTCTAAATCTCCCTGCCTTTAACCTACATTTCTTTTCTGTCTCCGTGTGCTTTCTAGATGGCTACCCACGAGACGAGATTATATACAAGTGGAAGAGAACCTCAGTGGAGACTTCGGACCAGAAATACTGGAGGCTTTACCAGTTTGACTTCATGGGGCTGAGAAACACAACAGATGTGCTCACAACCACAGCAGGTGAGTGAAACCCCAGAAAAGGTTCCATTTTTCACCATTTCCTGGTTTTTTTCCTACTAGAAGGAGAGTAATCACCCGAAGCCGGCAGCACTCGGCCCCTCGAGCTGCTCAAGTTAACATTAGCGCCTCGCCCATAAAAGTAATCATATCACTACAATCACTACGCTCATAAGCATTCCCCTCGGGTGTCGGGCCAAATAGGTTTTCCACTGACATTAATCACCGGGATTAAAGATTAAAAAGGAAGTTTAATTATTCACTACTTCTGTCTTCCTGAGCATTCAGCGCTCACGTTAGCTCATGTTTATTTTGACGTCTTCGTAAGCGGCTATGGCCAGGGAAATGTTACACGTGCATGTCGTTAAATCCACCACGAGCTGTTATGTTTTAAACATGACCTTAGGTAACAGAACCGGATTCTGTTGGCTTTTAAAAAATGGAGGCTAGTTAAGGAGGATGCACTGGGACCATCAACTCCTCTTAACCTTGTTTGGAAGTTCGATATTCCTTCGCACCATCCGGTATTTTGTCTTGGGAGATTGGATCAGAGCTACATAATGTGGCCTGATTCAGCTTTCTAACACCTGAACCTCTGTTCATGAATATTCCAGGACCAGGAGGATGATTTAGAGATGAATAACCAGGAGTGGCATCTAATTATAAAGAAGCTCAGAGGAAATTAGTTCCGTATCTTCCTTTTGTTTTTGCTGAGTGTTGCAGAGTTTTCCTTTATTCTGGTTACACGTCTTGTTTATATCTAAGGAATATTCATTTAATCTCTGGATTTCTGGTCACAATTGTGACGGAACGCTCGCATCTCAAGGTGCGTTTATGGCGGTTTAAATTATGCATCCTCCTGGACTACAGCTGCACCGTCAAAACGCAGCCAAACTAATTTTCTGCTGAAATGCTCAAAAATAACAGCAAACCTACACATTTACCTCATGCTGTTCAAGAAAATTGGCCATTTTCTCATTTGTTACCTCGCTTCTTTTTCCCCGTTTCACTTGCCGGTGCTGTCTGCACACATGATGATTAGATCCCCTGGGTAAAAATACCTATCATTAATTTATACCTTAATTTATACCTTGACAAACTTCAAAAGTGTTTCTCCTCATCCCCTCCTTTTATCCCCCTCTTATTTTCTTCATCTCTCATAAACACATTGAGCCGTTTTAATGAGGACAGAGTGGACTGATCCCTAACCGCCATGCCACCAGAGTCCCCCGTCACATATCTATCGTCGTTATCAATTCAGCAGCATCCTCTTTACAGGCCCAGACGTGGAATTCCAAACACCTCAGAGCTCAGTTCTGCCATCCCACCGCAAATTCCCCCAAAGCCTGCATTGCATTTGAAAAATGCTGATATTCATAATTTGCACGCTGGCGTTTCGTAAAGATAATTCATTCTCTTGTGGAAAAAGCTGGAAATCCCTCGATTTCCATTCAAAGTCCTGGAACATTTTGTTCTTTCATTATGTGTAGTTATGAGATCCTTGCTCAGCTACAATGTAATGGTCGTGGGTTTTTTGTTGAAGTAGGACCCAGAGTGCAAGCAAAATCCAAAAGATATTGATTAAAGAAATAAACTCAACTGGAATTGGACTCACAGACATAAACTAGTAGATTAATCACCGGGGGCAGAAGAAACGGGGATAAGGAAATAAAACTGACAAGATTTTTAAAACGGGCCACGGCATCATTGGCTCAAACTGTGAAACAGAAAAGAGGACTGAGCTTACTGTTCTCTGAGAGCAGCAAAGTTATTCTAGTTTGACAAAATGAGTGTCAGTCACAGTGAAGAAGGGGTACGGTGTACATTTTAGGACATCCTCAGGTCTCAGGTGTTAGACATCAGACCATAGAAGAAAAAAAAACCCATCAGGCTTCATTCAAAAATGTCTGACTAAATAGCATTCAGGATTAGGTCTCAGGAAAAAACGTCAGACAAAAAGGCATCAGAAAAAAATCTTGATGAAATAAATTATTGAACTAAAAGCCTTCAGGAAGAAAGTTGTCACACCAAAAGGCTTCAACTTTTTTTCTGATGGCTTTTGGTTTGACAACTTTTTTCCTGAAGCCGTTTTTACTGATTCCCTTTTGTCTGATGTTTTATTTATTTATTTTTTTACTGAGACCTTTCTGACTGACATTATATAGTCAGATGTCTGATAGATTTTTTAATGAAACCTGAGGCTATTTACTCTATGGTCTGACACCTGAGACCTGAGGATGTCCTAAAATGTACAACGTACAGGGGATCAAAAGCATTCGATGTACACTGACAACACAAAGAGCTAGAACCAAACTCAGTGGTGTCCAAGCCTTGTTCCATGTTGGACAAAATGGTCAGGATTGTTTTACCGATATACCGATACTGCCTGACTCTTGTTTTCGATACCAACATAAACCAATACTGACATAAGCAGATTTTTCTCATTGTCTCAGAGCATGATGCCAAGATTTTACGCATTAATGTATCCTTATTTTTTCTGTGTGCTGCAGTTACGGTGATAAAACATTTATAAAGATCTGCAGCTAATGAACACAGGATTTGAGTGAAGATTCTTGTTTTTGTTTTAGTGGATTGTCACCACACAGGGCTAGGGATGGGTACCTTTGACATTTGAATCGATTCGGTACTAATTCCCGGTACCTAGGAATCGATACCGGTACTCAACGGTGCCGATTTTAGATACTTTGGAGTGTTTAATATTTTAATTCTCTTTTATAATTAAATATATATTTTTCTAAATATATAACCATATTTGATAAATATCACGATAAATAACATACAACTGTTTGTATTTTAACATCGTCCTTGTAGTTTTATAAGCTGATAATTAAACTGAAGCAAACATCTCTACTGTGAACTAAATTTACTGTGTATCTTCATTCCTTTTGTCGTCCTTTTTCATTTGAGTTTTCCTACTGGGAAGTTAGAATTTCCGAGGAGAAAGCGAACGCACCATTAGCTGATAACAATGGTGGCAATGGAAGCTAATTTATCAAGCTAATGTTATCTTAAACAGTTTATTTAACTCCTGGAGCAGATTAAAACGATGATGCCTCACACAGATCGTTGTCGCTGGTTTCATCTTCACCCAATCACCCGTCGCATTTAGTAAAGTGAAGCCAAACTTTTGAGCGCGTTCATGTTCTTCCTGTCGGAAATTCGGAGTTCCGAGGAGAAAGCGAATGCACCATTAGCGGAATGGAAGCTAACATATCAAGCTAACGTTATCTTAAACATTTTATTTACCAACCGGAGCAGATTAAGATGAGGATGTCTCACTTAGATAGTTGTCGATGGTTTCATCATCACCCAGTTAACCATCACATTTAGTGAAGTGGACCCAAGCTTTAGTGTGCGTTCTTTCTACCATGCTGCTCTGTTTACAACGTGCTTGCAGCGACCGACGACATAATGCTCTTGCGCATGCGCAGCTGTCTAGGCTAGTTCTCGTTATGAAGGATGGGTACCGAAACGAGGCACCATTTCAAAAGACTTGAATCGGTGCTCAGTCGGTACTATGGAATTCGGTCGGTACCTTAAAAAGTACCGAATTCTGTACCCATCGCTACACAGGGCAAATGACTACTTCACAAGTTGTGCCAAATAAACTAAAATATCTTTAAACTTTTACCTCAGATCTTTCATATTTTTTCATTTTTAGTGCAAAAGGGGAGGAGAAATAGCTGAAGAGATTACAGTGGGGCAAAAATGTTTTTGGTCAGCCACCAATTGTGCAAGTTCTCCAACTTAAAGAGATGAGAGAAGTAGTTGACATACAAGACCACTGACAATCTCCCTCATTCAGGGGCTCCACACAAGATCTCACTCCATGGGGTCAAAGTTATCACAAGAACGGTGAGCAAAAATCCCAAAACTACATGAGGGGGACCTAGTGAAGGACCTGCAGAGAACTGGGACCAAAGTTACTTCAGTAACTACATCGCCAGCGACTCAAATCTAGCAGTGCCAGATGCGTCCCCTTGCTTAAGCCAATACACGTGCAGGCCGTCTGAAGTTTGCTAGAGAGCATTTTGATCATCTAGAAAATGATTGGAAGAATGTTAAATGCTCAAATTAGTGGTGCAACAGATAAAAATAAGTCACGGTTCGAATCGGATCAGGATTTTCAGTCACAAATATGAACCTTTTTTGGGTCAGAAAAAAGCATAGCATTGTTCTCTCTGTATTTGTAGAGCACCTACATTTGTTCTGCCCAAATGTGCAACTTGCTATAAAAACCGGAATTAGAGAGGTCCGATTGCTGATTACATATTGAAAAAGGCTTTCCATAGTTAGCTCACTCCCTGTGTTTCCTGCATTCACTCATTTCCTCAGCTTTCTAAAGTGCTGTTTATTTTTCTTTCCTCCTCTTTTACAGATTTGTCCTCATTAATGTTTAAAGGTCCCACCACTTTAATGTAATAGCCCAAGGCATTTTGCGCGGGCCACAGGTGGCGCCTCGGCCCTCCATAGAGAGATTCGTGCGTAGGGGTGGGAATTGATCTTTTTTTTTATTAACATCAATGGCATTATTGATTCTGTTTATTGATCCAGTTCCTCATCAATTCCAGAGTAGTTCAATAGGTGGCAAGAGAACCGAGCACATCACTCCTGTTCTTAAATCTCTACACTGGTTACCACTAAATTACAGAATCAATTTCAAAGTACTTCTACTAGTTTATAAATCACTCAATGGCATGGGGCCAGAATACATCAGATCTCCTTCAGGTATATACACCCAGCAGGGCTCTGAGATCCTTAGGAAACAGTCAGCTGGTAGAACCTCAGGTCACAACCAAACAGGGTGAAGCTGCTTTTAGCTACAATGCTGCACACAGATGGAATCAGCTTCCTCACGACCTCAAATGTGCCTTAACTCTAGTAACTTTTAAATCCAAATTGAAAACCTTCATGTTTTCAGCCTTTGAATAAAGGTTCTTATGCTGCACCTTCTGCACTGTAACTGCTCACCCTTTAACTTT